CCAGGACTGGAGTAGGAGGTTATTTAACTTGTGTTGACCTTCTCTGATGAGGGAGGAGAATCCCTGGATAACTGCTGCCAGCTCTTATCTCATGGAGAACACTTCTGATCTGTGTTCTTGGAGCATCCTTAAAGGTCCTAGTGGGATGGAGCCCAACAAGCTCACAGTAGTACCAACTCCAGAATGCTGCCTGGACCACTCATCCCCACTTCCAGCAGCCACTTTGTCAAGTGGGCTACCTTCTCAAAAGCCTGCCCCCCAGGTTATGCCTTCTGGAAATTTCAGGATATGTACCAGAATTTATAGAAGATAAAGAATTCAGGCTTGGAACTATAATCCCAGCTTTTGGGAGTCTGAGGCAGGAGGATCTCCATGAGTTCAAGGCTAACTTGGGCTTTGTAGTAAGTGCCACACCACCTGGATTACAGAGTGAGCCTTTGTCTCAAAAATGACAAGAATCACAAAGTCCTAACTCTGTCCTCGCTGGAGAATTCTTCTGTTAGAGTTTGGATGTATATACTTCCTTCTAAGACACACACACACACACACACACACACACACACACACACACACACACACCTCTGAAACGACAACAATATAATGTCCCAGCATGGAGAAGGGAAAGTGGGCACAAAGTCCCACCCTAATCAAGAAACTGTTTGCAACTGATAAATTCTGGGAGAAGGAAAGTCAGTTGTTTTTTTTTTTTTTTTTTTAATGGACTGACTCTGAGTATACCAATCACACCCCAGGGCAGGCCACACACTCAGGAATAGTGGAACACCACAAACTGGACCCTCCCCTCATTTTGCTTGTGTGTGTGTGTGCTGTGACTTTTTAATTTTTTGTGTTAGTTTTGGCTTTTTTTAAGAGAGAGAGAATATGAAGTAGGATGGGTAGTGATAGAAGATCTGGCAGAAGCTGGGGGAGGGAAGAGTTCGACCAAAACATAGTGAAGGAAAACTTTTAAAGATAAATTAAAAAACTCAAGATACTTTTCTCTGGAAAAAGATAAGTTAATTACATTTTCCACAATGGAAATGACAGTGTATTACTATGATTTTGATATGGTTTGAGTCCCCTCCACCACCTGCCAAGGTTTTTCTGTGTTGACACTTAATCCCATGTGAGGTATTATGTGTGTGGAAACGTAACTGACTATGCTATTTGGGGTGGGCTTTGTGGGTGGAGATCATTAGGATGAGGCCCCCATGATTTAATCCTGGTGGTTAAATAAGGAAAACAAAGGAGAAGCCCATAGACTCTCGTGCTCCATCTCTGCCATGCCAAAGGAGGGTATTGAATCTCCCCTGGTTGTGGGTGCCAGGAATCAAACTCAGGTCTTTTGGGAGAGCAGTCACTGGTTTTAAACACCAAACCATCTCTCCAGACTCAGAATCACATCTTCTTTTAAGGCATTTCCTATTGTTTCGCTCACAGCATTCTTACACTTGGCATAGCTACCATGCCCCAGGTACAGTTTCCAGTGCTGAAAATGAATGAACAAGATCCTGCCTCTGGTTCTTATGGAACTGGCATTCTAGATCTCTCTTCTATTTGAACCAGGTGGGGTTTATTTAGCAAATGTCCCAGTTGTGACATTTACTTCACTTGATTCAAGTTTTCAGTCCCTAGGCAGTGCTTCTGTGAGGATTGTATTAATGTTCTTCAGTATTGTCACCCTGGATGTTCTTTGTATTTACTCGGTCTTCTTAGAATAAATTCTTGGAGGTAGAATCGCTGAAAGAGGTGGATGTGTGTAAATGAGTGTGGTGGAGTGCCCATTTCCTTCAGTCTGTCTATCTTCAATTAGTTTGTTGGAACTTACTGGTTTTTCTCAAAGGATTTCTTGGTTTTTAAAGATGTTTCTCTATACATGTCTGTGCATTTATGTGCACTAAGTGCCTGTGGATGCCCCGGAGGCCACAAGGCATCAGATCCCCTGAGCTGGCGTTATAGGCAGGTGTGAGCAGCCTGACCTAGATCCTGAGAACAGAACCTAGGTCCTGAGTCCTCTGAAGCAGCCATAAGTGATTTTACTCACTGAGTCACCTCTCCAGCTCCCTTACCCTGTTGCTGATATCACTACAGCAAAAACCAAACAAACATGGTAGAGAAAGCTATGCAGATTCCTACCTGACTTAGATGTGGTTAACTGAGTCACTACCCTTTAGAGTCCAAAAGCAAACAAACAAATGAACAACAACAACAACAAAATGCTAGTAGAACCCTTGTTTTGCAAGCTGCCAATCATGTTTTCAAGCCCTTGTTCTTGGGTTTTCTCCTCTCTAAAGAGTCACATGCATCTGGGAACTAGTTATTCTGGTGCCTGCTCATCACTGGCTTCCAGTGTGAGAACAGATCCACTAGAAAGGAAAGGAGGCAGCACCGGCTAATTGTGCTAATATTATGTCACCAACTGTGTTATGTGTTGTGATGCATGACGCTGGGAGGATGAACAGCAGGGAGACGTGGCGGATTCAGAACCCGGTAAGAATAAGCAAGTTATGAGTTGAGATATGGAAGATTTCTAGTGGGTTCTCACCAGGCCAAGGTAGGGCAGGGGCAAGGATTACTGTAAGAAACAATTTCTACCGGTTCATTTTTAAAAGTGTCTCACTACAAGTGAGCAGACACATTAGACTCTAGTGGCCAGAGCCCTGCCAAATGCCTGCTAGTCTCGATACTCCCTCCACAAACCAGAAGTTTAGAACAGAACAGTGCTCATAGCCAAGCTTGCCTGCAAGGCCACATGCCTGGAAAGCTTTAAATTAAGCAGGATGTAAGATGTAGAGATGACCCACACATACTTTTGTTTTAAAAATGATGATGGAAGTAACAGACGGAACAGTAAGACCGACCTGGATGATGTGGGATGAGGAAAGGGAGGAAGGGCTTGCTAACACTTGAGTTTCAAACCTTTGCATTCAACCAGCACACCCAGCCTTGCAAAGCAGTAAACTGCTCTGCTGAGTCTCCAGTGCTCTTATTATGAAGTGAGGGTCATAGTTATGAAAAGGGTGTGTGTCATCCTATGCCATGTCAACATAAAAACAATTTTCACCTCAAAGGGTGATATAGTTGATTCTGGAGCCAAATAGGAGTGACTGTGGTATGAGGACTGTCCTCTGATGCCAAGAAAGGGTTAGGGCCGCAGGAGGCTTGGAGGGAAGAATGGAGGGCAGATGAGACACTGCATTTGCCAGTACATGGGTGTGAAGCCGTTTCTTATATTGTTTAAATAAAACTCAGAAGTCAGATATCAGGGTTAAAACCTGATTGATCAGAGAAGCAGCAGCAAAGTGACCAGTGACCTCCTCTCTCTCTCCTTCTACCACCCAAAAGGGCCCTAGAATCTTCTAAGCCCCTCCCTACTACTTCCTGACTCTCTATGTCTTGGGTCCCCCCAAACCTCTATGGCTAATTCTAGTCGTCACCCCAGTAGCTAGCTCGCCCTCTGATTCAAGGTAAACTTTATTGGCAGTCTCAGGAGTGTCAGAGTATGATCAAAATATCCCATAACACAGGTATGCAGGCAAGCAAGTAGTCAGCTGTCGGCAGGCACCCAGGCTTACACTGATGTCCATGGGCCACACACAGACTGGCACACAGGCCTACAGACAGACACACAGGCCTACACACGGACTCACGGGTCTACAGTCAGACACACAAGCCAACTTGTGAAGGCGCAGTCCTCTGACCTCAGGCTGTATTAATTCAGAGCCCATACAAAAGTGGCACTCTGCCAGACATGGTTGTATAAAAGATGACATCACTGTTTACATTTTAGTTCCAAGGACATCCAGTGTCAGCCATTTTGTGCTGACTCAGTGTGCCCTCCCCCTCCCCCCATGTCCAGCACTTGCTGTCTTGGTCCACATCAGCACCATGCTGTCAAAACATAAACTGACCCTTTAGGTCACCCGAATCCCATGCTCCCATGTAGTAGAGGTTTCATAAAAAGAACAAAGAAAATTTTAAAAAAATCAAGACACATTTAAAATACATTGGTGGAAATATCAGGTAGATGGTTACAGCAAGGTGGGGATACATCTATTGTAGGACTCAGTTGCTATCTGGTGACATTCTGAGCTTTGGGGTTGGAGGAAGACAGGAGCTAAGTTAATGCACCTAAAGGTTTCACCTGATAGCCACAAGGATTCTAGGTTAGACCCAGAGATGGGAAAGGAATAGCTAACAAGAAGGTTAACGATAGCCCAAGACAAACAGTAATTAGGCTCTGGACCTGCAACATTCCAACTTCCCCACAGTCACTGAAGTTCTGATTAGTTACTCAGCCTTCAGTGGAAGGTTTGGTGGGAGGTGGGGTTTGTTTCCAGAACTTTCCTTCTCAGATACTTTCCCACCTTGCTGCCTTTGGACTTGTGGTTCTGGAATTGTCTGATGATTTTTCTATGGCTGGTTTTTCCTCTTTATTAGCTAGTAGTTTAAATGACATCCCCCAAGAGAGGCCAGGACTTCATGCCATCCTTAATCACTAACCAGGCCCCCCTGTGTCAATTACTTTGTTATTTGACCTTATTTCTTATTTTTCTACATAATCTTTCCCACAAAAAATTACCTCCGTTTTATTTGAATTTGGGTGTGGTGTGTATAGATTTTAATGCATACTTCAGAAGGTTGAGCTGGCTCAGCAGAAAGGGGTGCTTGCTCCCCAGACTGCCGACTTGAGTTCGATCCCTGAGACCCACAGGGTGGAAGGCAAGAAATGACTCCTCTGAGTCGTTCTCTACCCACACATCACCCCCTCCACACACATACACACACCACAAAACAAATAAAATACACTAAAAACACTACTTAAAAAATAAATGCTACCTTTGCAATATGTATTTAGCAGCCATTTAGAGCAGGTTTGCTGGACGAAGGAAAAGTGCTTCCTTGGTGCAAAGATGGCAAAAATCAGGGATGCCAGAGCGGAGGGGCGTGGTCTCCCGGAACCCAAGAGCCACGTTCCCGGAAGTTTCCGGCCACCAGCGGACACATCCTGCGGATGGACGGTCCGTCAACAGCTGGTGGCCCCTGGGTGACGCGTAGGCCCGGGAGCGTCGACCATGGACGACCACGGCCTGGAGGAGTTCCGCCGGCGCTGGCAGGAGGAGTTGGCGCAGGCACAGGCCCAGAGGCGACGGCGGCGGCGGGGGGCCGGGGAGCGGCGGGCGCGGAGGCCCGAGGCGGGGGCTTTTGGGGAGCAGGCCTCGGGGTACCTGGCTCTGGCACAGGGTCTACTGGAGGGCGCGGGCCGACCCCCGGCGCCCAGGCCCGGCCGGACCGACAGGAGGGATGCGACCAGCCGCTCTCGCTCACCCCCTGACCGCGACGCCGCGGAGCCGGACGAGCCGCTGGTGGACCAGCTCATCCGCGACTTGGTGAGTGGCGGGGGGAACCTGTGACCCTCCCCACGGAAGTGGGGACGCAGTCCCGGCTGGGACTCTGTACAACCAGGGCGCCCCTGGAAGCATTGGTTCTCCGCTGGGAGTTTTGCCTGCGGATATTTTGGGTTGTTGACAGTAGGTGTGTGCGTGTTCTTGGGCTTGCAAGAGAATTGTTCGGAACATCAATGCTTAGAACAGAGTCCCCAAAAGAGATTCTACCTATAAAGTGACTACGTGTGAGTTTGAGAAATCCTGCCCTAGAAACGTCCTTAAAATTGTAAGAAAGGTTGACTTTGGAGGTCCAGAAAAAGCATAGGATGGACTTAATGTCTACCTTTCTCTGTGTAATTTGATTTTCCTAAGTGTTACTAAAAACAAAAACAAAAACAAACCTTTAAACTAGAAGAAACAACAGGACGAGGAAATAAGTTAATATCCTTAGGAGGTTCTTAGCCTTTGGGGAATCAGGAAGCTTTTACTCCAGCGTCCTTGGCCACATAGGGAGAATCAAATCAAGACCCCCCTGACAGGTGTCCATAGCTCCCAGATTAAGAGTTAAGCAACCAGAAGGCTTTAATGGCTTCATTCAAACCAGGTTAAAAGAAAATTTCCTCAGCGTTCAGGCAGAGAATACTTTTCTGTAAGTGAAGGTTGTTTGGAGCAATAATGGGGTAGTGCTGGAGAGATGGCTCAGTAGTTAAGAGTGCAGCCTGCTCTTCTGGAGTTGGGTTCCTAGTGTCAGGTGGCTCCCAACCTCCTGTAACTCCAGTTCCAGGACATCTAATGTCTCTGGCTTCCAGGGGCACTTGCATACATGGTTACAACTCTCCACGAAGACACATACATATACACATAAATTTTTCAAAAATGGGTGGATTTTATGCAATGGACAGTTTTATTTAAATAACACCAATAGTTTCTTTTTTGAGCTTCAAGTCCATCCCCTTTAAACCAAGTGTCCTGTCTTGTGCTTGCCTTGATTCTAAAATGGCCATAACTATAACCTGAGGTAGATACCTACTTCTTTTACAAATGAAGGGACTCAAAAGCCGCATTTTCTGCAGTTTGCCCAGGATTACCCAGCTGATGGGGATTGAGTTTGGGTTCCCGTGTTTTAGTTTCACCAGGTGAAGTTTGAGTTGGCCTCCTTTTGAGACCTTGATGATTTGTAGGTTTCCGGGTTCTCTCAGACCTGCTAAATCAGCAACCCAGAGAAGGAGGTCCACATCTGATATTTGAGAATTTGTGGAGGTTGAGATAGTCTCAGCTGTGTAGCCACTGCTGGATCTTGTTCTGGCTAGTTTTATGTCAACTTGATACAAGCTAGAGTTACTGGAGAGAAAGGAGCCTCAATTAAGAAAATGCCTCTGTAGGATCAGGCTGTAGGCAAACCTGAAGGGCATTTTTTTAGTGATTGATGGGGGAGGGCCCAGCTCATTAGCATGGGAACACTCTTGCTGGTGGTCTTGGCTTCTATAAGAAAGCAGGCTGAGCAAGCCAGTAATCAGGACCCCTCTATGGCCTTAGCATCAGCTCCTGCCACCAGGTTCCTGTCCTGACATCCTGCAGTGATGGACTATGATGTGGAAGTGTAAACCAAATAAACCCTTTTCATTCCCAACTTGCTTTGAGTCATGGTGTTTATCACATAATAGAATCCTGACTAAGATAGGCCCTAGATCCCATACTCAAGACTTTCCAGGCCTCACACTCAAGCAACATCCCCAAAACAGAAATAAAGTGCCCTAAAATGGAAGGGGTCTATCCAGGGGCAAGATCCAGAACATAGTAGAGTCTTACATTTCATAATGAAGTTGGCAAAAGCCGGACCTTTGTCCTGTCCCTGGGCTCCACTGCCCTCTCAGAAGCACGTTATTAGGTACTGTTAAGGTCTCTTTTGAGCAGCAGCCAACACTCCAGTCGGTGACACCTGTACCACAAAGAGGCAGTAAGTCATGTGCTTAGGTAACTGGAGTTACAGGAGGTTGAGCCACCTGATGGGTGCTAGGCATTATTGAACTTGGGTCTTCTAGAAGACCAAACTTTGCTCTTGGGGGAAAAAAAGTTTTATTTATTATGTATACGTGCCTACGTGTATCCCTGCATACCAGAAGAGGGCACCAGATCTCATTACAGATGGTTGTGAGCCATCATGTGGTTGTTGGGAATTGAACTCGGGACCTCTGGAAGAGCAGTCAGTGCTCTTAACCGCTAAGCCCTCTCTCCAGCACTAGACTCTGCTCTTCATCGTCA